ATAATAATAATAATAATAATAATAATAATAATAATAATAATAATAATGAAATTACTCTGAGAATCCCAGAATCCTAAAGATCCTTTGGAAAACTAAGACTTACAGAGTTGTCTTAGTTTTATATCACTGTAATAGACATCACAACAAAAAGAAAGTTGGAGAGGAAAGAAAGGGTTTGTAGCATCTTTAACTTCCAAGTTACAGTGAACAACTGAGAAAAATTGGGGCAAGATCTCAACCCTGGATGAACATGAAGGCAGGAACTCAAGCAGAGACCTTGGAGAAAGGCTTGTTCCTGGCCTGCTTCCAATGGCTTGCCTATTCTACTTTCTATAGCTCCCTAGAACTATCAGCCTAAAAAGAGGCACTGCAGACACAGAGCTGGAACCTGCCATATCAATATCAATAGAGAAAAATCATCTCCGGCTTGGCTACCAGCCATTCTGTTTGACATTTTTTCTCACTTAAGGATCTCTCTTCCCAAATAACTGTACCTTGGGTCAAGTTGATATAAAACGAGCCATCACAATAGTCCATCACTTACATAGTTATGATGCACTGAACTGAAATGCACAACCTTGAATTTCATTAGCTACTATTCACTTTATTACATCTGTAATGTAAATGTACACAGAAAAAGTTAAAATTGTGCACACAGTGTAATTAAGCCAAGGAGCAAACATACATACACATATATATATGTGTGTGTGTGTATATATGTATGTATGTTTGCTCCTTGGCTTAATTACATGTATATAATATGTATATATATATATATGTATATATATATATATGTATATATGTATGTTATAGAGATAAAAATATAAGCATATATAATACATACAATCTGTGATATATGCATTCATAAATATGAGTGGATATAAATAACGTATATTAGTTCATATATCTTTGTTTCATGAATATTTATTTAGTGCAGAATAGTGGTAATTTTCTAATTAGGAAAATATTACTCAATTCTGTGCACCTGAAGTCCATTAAGATCTTGTTTAATACTGTACTTTTTAATTGGCTTAAGATGAGATAATTTTAACTAAATATAAACAGTAATCAGGCAACTAAAACACCTTTAAAATGTTAA